CCCCCCCCCCCCCCCGCGCATCTTTGGTCCAGCCCAGCTACCTTGGATCCACTGGTATATCTTTCAGTGCGCACCACTTGGGCGATGACAGGAACCCCAGGGCGAACACCAAGGGGTGCATTTTCAGAGGCTGAAGGTCATAGATGGCCAGAAAGGGGTGCATCCGATCAGCTGGGAGGAAAGAAAGGGAAGAGTGTAGACCCCAGGAGGTCTCAGCCCCCTCCCCCTCCTCTCCCTGAGCGCCGTGCTCCCTGTGTACCTGGGTCCTCTCCCTCCCTCAGAGTGTCCACCTCATCGGGCTCCATCTGTAACTGGCTGGAGTCCAGGTCGCCCCCGGAAGAGAAGAGGCTCTCTGGGCTAGCCGCCATCCTAGGAGCAGGGGGAAACCTCAGAGAAATGATCTGCCCTGCAGGACTGCCCCTCCTATCTCACCCCCAAGGCTCTCCACTTCCCACAGGTCCCCTCTTCTTACCCACCCGCCTAGCTTCTCGTAACTCCAGTCTCCCTGATTGCGGCCTCATCACCTGCAAAACCCCTCCAACCCGCCTCTCACATCCATCCCGACCCCAGTCCTTCATCCAGAACCCCTGGATGCCGCCTCCTGCTCTGTGAGCAGGGCGTGCAGCCAGGAACACCCAGTCAGGCCCCGGTATCGCTGAACTGGGGCAGAGCAGAAGCCAGGGAGAGGGGCCCCGGGGGCGCCGGGGGACTCGGGCTCGGCCAGCCCGGCTGGGAGGGGGGAATCCCTGCGGGAAAGAGGAAGTTACGCGCTCTCCGCCTGGCAGGAAAACCCCAAAATCTGAGAGTGCGGCTGAGTCAGGAGGCTCCGCAACCCGGGCTCATGACGGACCGCGCCCGACTTCCTGGGCCCCGGTCCTCCGCGCTCCTCTCCCCGAACCCCTTACTCTGGCAGCCCGAATCAGCGCCGCCGCGATGTCGCGAGCAGATTATGCAGAGTTGATACGGAGCAGGAGCACCCATACGACATGTCCGGTGGCGGGTTTGGTTCGATTGCTGCCCTCGTGGTGGAGAGACCCTGAGACTCCCAGCTGTGTTGTCCTTGCCCAGATTTCCTGCAGCTCGCTCCGCATGGGCAAGTAAATAATGAATGAGTCTCTCGCCACCCAGTTAGAGCCCCTGCACATTCCCTCCTG